AAGGATTGGCCAGCCTACCAAAATTACTCCAAGAGTACAACAACAACTCACCCAGGAGGTCATAAAATAACCCGGAACAACAAGAACTGGAGGCCTCACTTGCGTCAGTTAAGGTCAGTGTTCATGATTCAACAATGAGAAAGAGACTGGGCAAAAATGGCATCCATAGGAGAGTTCCAAGGTGAAAGCCATTGATGACCAAAAAGAACACAAAGGTTTGTCTCACATTTGCCAAAAAACATCTTGATTTATCCTCAAGGCTTTTGGGCAAATATCCTGATGAGACTGAGGACTGATGAGACAAAAGTTGAACTTTTTGGAAGGTGTGCGTCCTGTTACATCTGACATAAAACAGGCATTTCATAAAAAGAACATCAAACCAACAGTCAAACATAATGGTGGCAATATGATGGTCTGGGGCTGCTTTGCAGCTTCAGGACCTGGACGACTTGCCATAATTGATGGAAACATGAATTCTGCGCTCTTCCAGAAAATCCTGAAGGAGAATGTCTGGCCATCAGTTTGTGACCTTAAGCTCAAGCGCATATGCAGCAGGACAATGATCCAAAACACACAAGCAAAGTCCGTCTCTGAATGGCTCAAAAAAACAAACAAAACAAAATTAAGGTTTTGGAGTGGCCTAGTCAAAGTCCGGATTTAAATCCTTTTGAGATGCTGTGGCATGACCTTAAACAAGCCAATTATGTTTGAAAGCCCTTTAATGTGGCTGAATAAAAACAATTTTGCAAAGAGTGGGCCAAAATTCCTCCACAGCGATGTGACAGACTTGTTGCCAGTTATTGCAAACTCTTGATTGCAGTTGTTGCTGCCAAGGGTGGCACAACCAGTTAATAGGCTTAGAGGGCAATTACTTTTTCACATAGGGCCAGGCAGGTTTGGACAGCTTTTTTCCCCATAATAAATGAAATCATCATTTAAAAACAGCATTTTGTATTTGCTCAGGTTATCATTGCGTAATATTAAAATCTGTTTGATGATCTGAATCATTTAACTGTGACAAAAATGCAAAAAAAAATCAGGAAGAGGCCAAATACTTTTTCACAGCACTGTATGTAACTATACCTCTCAGATCCAGGTTATGTATGAATTATTATTTGCCAAAATTCTCAGTTGTCATGTAATTATTTGAATAAGAAAATTATCCTCTGGGAACAAATAATGGCGGAACATTTGTACTTCCCCCATAGGCAAAGTCTCCTTGTTGTATTTCTCCAATTTATCACTTTGGGCTTCATTTGCGTGAAGTGTGTATGGCTGATCATGTGCAAAAAAATGGTCTTAAACCAAATCTGTCAAGAGAGAAATACAAACACCGACCTCCTCTTAAAAATAGTTTTCTGCCTGTCATATGCAACCTCTGGCTCCGAAACGTTTTGTGTCAATGACTTGGGACAAGTAAGCAGGAAGCCAGAAATGATCTGCATAAGGCTACGTTCACACTAGCCTTGTGTGCAGGCGGCAGAGAGGCGTTTGAGAAGCGTTTTTACCGCTTCCCAAACGCCTCTGCCAATTCTGCACATTACAGCTCATGGTGCTGTTCTAACGGGAGCGTTTGCGTCGCGTTGCGGCAAAACGGACGCCTCTGGATGAGTCAGGAGGCGTTGAAGCCTCCTATTCTCGTCTATGGTGCCGCTCCGCAAACGCCCGGCTGGCGTTTGCGGTGCGGTTGCGACGCGGTTGCGGGGCGTTTGCGGAGCGGTAACACCACTCAAATGCATTATAGGCGTTTGTGGGGCATTATTAACGCTCGGCAAACGCCTAGCAACTCCCGCTAAACCGCGCATGCGGCGTTTGCGGAGCGTTTGCCGAGCGTTAAAAACGCTCCGCAAACGCCGGACCAATGCTTGCCACACGCTATAGGGGCGTTTGGCAAGCGTTGGCAAAACAGCCAAGTGTGAACGAGCCTAACAGTCAGTACTGAAGGCAAAAGTGGTTACAAATCTGTTTCTGTGACAACATGTGTTTTTAATGCTTTAGTTCACCTTTTCAGAAAAAAATAAAAAAGAGAACACCTTACAGCCACCTCATTTCCCCCAATCCCTTCTGTACTTACCTCCATGGGTGATAAGCTGTCAGTGTATATGAAGCTGGTGTAGTGATCCAGGGATCTGATATTCCTGCTTTTCTCTTTTTGCTTTCTGCAGGTCTTCTGGGATGGATCAGAGTGATTCTGTTTCCAGCACAAACCAGTGCTGACCAAACACATATTTGCTGTGATCCATCCCAGAAGCCCTGCAAAGGGAAGGGGGAGACGAGCGGAGGTTTTAAATCCCTGAACCGCTACACCTACTGCTACTGCATAGACACTGACATCTCACCACCCCCAGAGGTTAGTACAGTGAGGATCATGGGTATGGGGTGGGGCAGGTGTAGGGTATTCGTTCCTCTTTCCATTTTTTTTTAAAAGGTGTACTAACTTAAAAATTTTTAACTCCAGCCACCTTTTTTTTTTTTTTTTTTGTTTATGGCATGCAAAAGAGTTGCAGTGTGTAGCGGCTACTTACCTTCTTCCTTGCAGCAGTGCATCTCCAAGGGCACATGGCTACGTACACACCTGGATTTTACCCCAATTGTTACAGCCGTGGCCAATCACTCTACAGAACACTTCCCCGTCTCATCATATCCATAAGATGGGGGAGGTGTCCTCTAATTCACTGGCCAGGGCTGATAACACCTATTGCGATTTCAGTGCAGCATTGTAAACTCATTACAGGAAGTTCCGAGCTCACAGGATTTCTAGTAGGATCAGCATTTTCGGGGGTTTTTTTTTTTTTGCATTTATCAAACAGTTTTTCACCTTTGAAACCAGTAACCTAATGTTACGTTACTTTAAATGGTTTCATAGAATGCGTAAATAAATGTGGATTTATTACTAAGAGAGAAAGCTATTGCGTAAAATAATTAAAGGACTCATTTTTGTTCTTTAGATAGTGAGATAAGGATATCTGTCGTAGTGGCAGAGTACAGCTGCCCTTTGCTCAAACATGGCTTTGTTTCCAGACATCTCTAAGAATTTGGCACTTGTTGCCTTCTTTTTCCAGATGTCATGCTGACGTGTCACTCTGCATATCTATATAACTTTGTAAAATGAATTTATCAGAATAACAGTATATTACAGAGATGTACTACTCTGGAGTTTAAAAAAGGTAAATCACAAATTACTTTGTTTAACCTTTTCACTGCCAGAGTTTGTGTTTGTGTTTTTTTGTGCACGTTTAAAAAAAATCATTTTAGGCCTGAAGATTAGTTAAAACCTCCAAACATTGTATATCTTCTGAATGCAGACAACATAGAGAAAAAAGTGATGATAGTTTCAATTTTATATGCCACATATTTGCGCAAACTTTTATCAAGTGCAACAAATACGCTAAAATTAATTCTAGGTTACACAAAAGCAATATATTACCCATTTTGTTAATAAAAAATAAAAGATGGCGTTATGCCAAGTAAATGGATACCCAACATGTCAAGCTTTAAATTTGTATGTGCATGCAAAATGACAAACTTTGGTACTCTATATTTTCCCCAAGTGACGCTTTAAAAGCCCCTACAGGTCATTATTTTGGAATTAACCATGAATAATGGCCCTAGGATTATTGCTGTCACTCCAGTGTGTGGTCCAATTTGTAACATGTATAGCAGGCGACGTTTTTATACATAAGCGCCCCCAATGGGTGCAGTTCCATTTGTGTGTACGTGTGCATGAGGGTGAGATGAGCTCAATTTTTTTTTTTTAAATGAGTGTGTGTAGGTTTATTTTTTTACTTTTTTCTTTTTTTTTACTTTCTATAAAACTTTATTCATGTCACATAGGGGACAAAAAGTCCCCTATGTGATATAATAATTTTCCCTGCAAATTGCCCTCCAGTAGCTTCTTTTCAGGACACAAAGGCCAGGGAAAGGGTCACCAGAAACTGGGGCGTGATGTTTTACACATCGTTTTCGGGTTCATTCTATGTAGGGGAAATCGGCAAATGGATATTTGGATGTCCGCTGGTCTCCCTCCCCTCCACACAGGGGTCCCCCAATGTGAGGGTGGGTCGTGTCAGGGCAGACATGTCTCATAAAGGTATCAGGCAGCTGTACAGCCGCTGGATCGCTGTAATTGGAAAGCCAGCAGTCGACTTGCTGAGTGTACACACAGCCACCAGGAGTGTGTGTAAAACCCCCTGTTGCCACTGCAGCAAGCCTTACAGAGGTTGCAGTATAACAGTTAAATAAGCTATATGTTCACAGCATACACCTTTGTTTTATAACAGCGGCATTGTAATAACAATACAAACAATAGTTATATTTCACAATCCAATATAAGCTTACTTGAAAAGTCTCCTTTCATGTTGTGAGCTCTGCCTGTCTGCTAGTCGTCTCTTTCAACAACTTCCTCCAATTCCCTGTATGCTTTGCAGCTTCTCCTCTGCTGTTTTACTTTTGAATTCTAAGGACCACATATCCCATGGTACCTTGCTGCCTGCAAGCAATGAATCCTGTACTGACTCCGCCTCCTGAAACTCCTTCTCTCAGCTCCTCTGTAGTGCAGAAGGCAGGCTCTGTGAAATGTGTGACACAGCAGTGCTTACTCACAGGGCATAGTGACTACAGGTCACAGAATTCAAGGAAGTAAATGTTTGTAAACTTCCTTTGTGAAGATCCCCAAACTTCAAGTTCATTCAGATTATTAGGAGTAGGATATAATTAATTGAATACAATGTGGAAATGAATATATGATTTTACTTTTTCACCATGGAAATGCTTTAATATATTTAAAGTTTTCAGTCATGTACTCCATTTCTCTTTTTTCTTTAAGACTGCACATGTCATGTTCTTCCTGTACATAATCTTTTATTACATTTTCTTTTTATTAAATTTTTTCTGTACTCATTCTTTTATTACCTTTTTGTCTGTACATATACTGTAGTTCTTTTCTGTACATACCTTATTAAGAAAACATATCTGAAACTTGCTTCCTTTTTTCTTTGAAGGAACTTGAACAATACAAAAGAAATGCTGATAAATCCTGGAAGTCGATGTCCCTTGGATCTCATACATGATAACTACAGATTTGTGTAGATTATTTTATAATCTAACTGTATTTTTTTAAATGATAAATACCTGTAATAAATGTTTGTTTCATATATACGTGTACAATAAATTCTTCTGTATCAGTTTTGTTCTTTTCACGTTTTAATTCAAGCCCCAATGATATTCAAACATCGCAAATGGATGTATAAAAAAAGGAAATATTTTGTTAGTCATAGCAATAGATTACATATAAACACATAACAAAAAGCGTTGTGACAAGTTGTAGATTGGGTACGCTAGCACAGTATATACTGTAAATCATGGTTTTTTTACATATTTACTATTACATTTAAGGTTTAGGGCAGAACTAGGCACACTGGAAGTCTTAAATGTTAAATATTGCATATGGATACTGAAGGCTGATTTATTATTATTATTATTATTATACAGGATTTATATAGCGCCAACAGTTTGCTCAGCGCTTTACAATGTAATGGGAGACAATACAGCAACAATACAGTTCAATACAAGAGGGATAAGAGGGCCCTGCTCCTCGGAGCTTACAATCTAGGAGGGAGAGGATAGTGGAACAAAAGGTAGTAACTGTGGGGGATGCACTGGTAGGAAGAGTAGAAGATTCCATTGTTAGCTGACTTACTGATTTACTTCTATGCTGTGAACAGTCTGTTGTGAAAACACTGAAATAGCAGGAGATCAGTTTATACATGCACAAACCGCTGAATGACAAAGAATAGACATACCACCACCCCTTCTCATCACAGAACTGCCTGGAGTAGTCATTTATACACAGGCTTCCAACAAGCATTCATTCTTTTAATTGCTTTATTTAAAAAATGTACATATTCACAGTTGTCAAATGTTAGTTTGGCTTTTTGTTTTATTGTTCACTGATCTGATATGTCACAAAAATGGAATTCAGCATTTTCTTTGTAATTGATGAATTTATACAGTCTCATGCATAACAAATACTGTGTTTCACAATGCTGACTATGTACTGTCCGGCCCGCTGTACTACTGTATGTCCATTTGTTATTGCACTTTAAAAAAAAAATAAATAAAAATAAAAATTCAGGAGATGCTGGGCTTTCTTTTTGAGAGATCCCATCATGCCAGATGTCTACAATCAACTACATTAATTCCATTAAAAGATAAAGTTATTCCATTGTTAATCGAAGTGGTTGAAAATTTTCCTAGACTCCAGGAGATGTCTTACACACATGGTGGACATGCCCTATGCTCTCCCAATTTTGGTCAAAGGTCCTTAAACTCTTACACTCCCTACTAACTTTTCCATTTCCTATAGATAGTTGGTATTTTCTTCTCCACCTGAAACCACCAGGCCTTTCAAAACATCAATTTAAGTTGGCTATGTATGTATTATTGGCAGCTAAACAAACCATAGCAAAGGCCTGGAAACAACAATTCACATCTTTTAAGGAAGTCCATTGTTGCATAGACTTTTTCCTGGTAAATTAAAAACTCTCTAGCATCTTCTCTGACACCCACGAGAGATTTCCCAAAACATGGACTCCATGGATCCAACATGCCCACCCGGCTATATCAATAGATAATTTCATCTCATTATAACTCTAGTGGCCCTACAACTCAGACCCAGACACTTTGGATGTTCTATTCTAGATCTTTTCTTGTCTCTTTCTTCTTTTCATTTCTTTCTTTTTATTTATTTTTTCATTATTTTCTTGGCTCTACTGCAGGGATGATTCCTGATATACTCCATATTTTTTGATTCAATCATATATATTTATGCATTTAAAATGTTATTTTTTTCAATGTTGTCGGCCACCCGCCCAAGTCTATAACTGGCTTATGAAGCAAGGACACATAAACAGGCATCACATAGTGAAAAAAAGGGGGAGAGAACAATGTTCTTGGACAACTTGCCAGCCAGCTTAGCCAACAACCGAATTAACCTGTCTAACAGTATGCGTTTATAACAGGGGTTTTAGTTAGCACACATTTGCTCTGCTCGATTCAATCATATATTTATGCATTTCAAATGTTATTTTTTTCAATGTTGTCGGTGCTGCTCGGCAACGGGTGTATAGTTTTTCCTGCACCCTTCTGCTGCAGTACCAACTTGATGTGTTTTGTTGTTTCAGTTATCTTTTCCTTGACATACATGTTACTTGTCTCTACCTATGGTTGTATGTTCCAGCGCACAACCGCAATTGATTGTTACAGTTTATTTCTATTTGATGGTTTATGTTCAAGATGGTGGTTGCATTTGTACCATTTAAACCAAAATTGTTCAATAAAGATTTATTGAAAGGAAAATGTCCCTAGACACACAAACTCTGACCTATTGTATCTTTTTGGTGGCCAAAATTGCAATAGCCACTGCATGGAAAAGTCAAGTGGTGGGTCTCGCTTTGCTGAAGCCTAAACTGACCTGGATTATTCTTCACGAAAAGATGGTGAGCATCTTGCGGGATAAACAACCACTATTTGAAAAAATATGGAACCCTTGGCTCTCATACTTACAGGTAACTGAATAGCTAGAGGTTATCTCCTTGACGAGCTGACTTAGGACTCCTGAATCCCTGGACAGACACTTCGGGGTTTATTTACTAAAGCTGGAGAGTCCAAAATCAGACTCCCTTCTGCATAGAAACCAATCAGCTTCTAACCTCAGCTTGTTCAATGAAGCTTTGGCAATGAAACCTGGAAGCTGATTGGTTTCTATGCAGAAGGGAGTCTGATTTTGGACTCTCCAGCTTTAGTAAATAAACCCCTTCCTGTCTCCCTTCTTTTCTTTTCCTGCTTTTGGTCTTTTGAGACTTTCTTTCCAAATTGCTCTTGATAATGATGCTGGGTCCTATATCCTGACTTATCAGTTGTGTTACATCACAGTATGGAATCTGTCATATCTTAGAATTTGCATTGTTAATAATATTATTGATGGAAATACTCTGCGTCCGTACCCCTGGGTTAATCACTTGCTCCCGGATGACTCCTGGGAAAGGGTCATACTTGCTGCATTGTGCGGTGGAAGGACAGGTGCAAGCCAGCCTGTTCTTTTTATATGCATGTCTTATTTTCCTTTTGAGTCAGTCGGTTGATATTGCAACTGTGGACTGTTCCCAGATAGCGAAACGATTGTGAGTATTATATGCTTGAGATATGGGACTATATTGGTATCCCTCAATTTTGATATTACTGTACACCTTTACCATTCTTGATAGTCTCAACAATGTAAAAACTCATACAATGTTGTATTACCCTATTTTGTAAAATTAATAAAAACGATTGATATAGAAAATAAAGTTATTTATTGAAAACTTTTCACTAAAATTATTACACTCCCGCTAAATTACATAAATTGGGTCTGCATTCCACTGTTTTTGCAGTTGTATATAAGAAGCTGATTTCTTTCACTCTTTATGCCAATATGTGCAGCAGTATTGGTCAGAGGTAAACACTTTAATTGAACATGCACTAGACCAGGGGTCTTCAAACTTTCTAAATAAAGGGCCAGTTTACTGTACTTCAGATTTTAGGAGGGCCAGACTGTGGCCATTGGCAGTCAAAAAGTTCCCAACATCAGTGGGAAAAAAATGACCCATCTTTGGTGTTACTGGAAAGAACAGTGCCCTATCATTTTTTGTCATTGGAGGGAATTGTGCCCCATCATTGGTGACAATGGGGGAATAATGGCCCATTGTTGATGTTTTAGGAGAAATTGTGCCCCTTCATTGGTGTCAATGGGGGGGGGGGGGGGGGGAATGGCCCATTGTTGGCATCAGTGGATGAAATGGTGCCCTAAGGGCCAGAAAAAAAGCAAGAAAAGGGCCACATCTGGCCCTGGGGCCACAGTCTGGAGACCACTGCACTAGACAAAAAGACAGCCGGGACTTGCTGAGTAAATATAGCAGCCTGTTTTAACCACTGCTGTAAAAAATGGGCCTTCTGATCAGTGTTTATAAACGCTGAGCAGAATCAGAGATACAACGTAACAATGTATATTCATTATGCGTATTCATTAATGTATATTAATATATATTCAGTTTCAGTCATCTGCAGGTCAAAGGGGGTGAGCTTCAATCTGCATATTATGTCATTTACAGCAACCTTTCAAACCAAGGGCCAACCAGGAAAGCAACCATATGAAGTTTATCTTTCTTTCTTTTTCTTTATTCATGTTGTTTTTGGAATTCTCTGGATACAGCACATTCATTCTGTATAGTATTGTGGACAATTGTTTATACATACTGAGATTTGCAAATGTCTCTACTACATATCACTGAACTGAAATGTGATCTGTAGGACTGGATGTTTAATCCTGTCTCCTTTCAGTCTAATTAAAGAATTTATAAAAAGCAAATTATCAACCTTTAATTTTTTACCCTTGCTCTAAATAACACCTTTTCCTTCATCTCCCCTTAGCTAGTATTTTTCTGCTAATATTTCATTTCTATTTTTAAAACGATAATATTTTTAAAAAGGTTTTCATTTTTTAACTTCATATTATTTGATAAAGTTTAGGAGTCACAGATAAAAAAAATGCAAAATTAAAGAAAATATGCCTTTATTTCATTAGCAAAGAGCTTTGCAGTGATTTTCATTTTTAGTTTCATTATAGACAGGACAAATTCTAGAATATAATTTGCACTTTTTATCTACAGTAACATTTGTTTTTAACTAACCATGGCCAAAATAGAAAAAAAGTGCATTTTTTTAGGTTCATGTTTTTGTTTATAGATGTAGTAGAAAATAAATTAATTTTTGCAAAACAATATCACCAAATGAAAGTCTTGCTTGTCCTGAAAAAACAACATATGTATCACTTGTTTTATCTTAAGTAATGACAAATTTATTGCTGAATAAACAGGCAAAAGCAGAAATCTAAATACTTGTCTGGTCCATAAGGGTTTACAGATGTTTACTGACCTGGCTAAGGCTCCATACATGCTAGCGTTTTTTTAAACTAAAAAAAAGTGGAAAAAAACACTGGATAAAAAATTCTCTGTGTTTTTTTCTGCTGGAAAAA